AGTTATTTGAGATGAATGGTATCCAAATACTCTAACAAACCACACCAACCAATCACAGGAAACTTTCTTCTAAAATTAGCTATTGGCGCAGTTTTTGATCCACTGGAACTCAGCTAAGGAGATACATATTTGGTGGCAGTCCAGAGAAGCCAGACTAGAGAATACTATAAATGGGAGCACATGAGATACATATTCTGTGTTCTTATTTTTAGAACTGTGATTTTTATATAAATATGTGACTATTCTATACAAGAATATGGTATCAAATGGAAAAACCTGAAGCAAATTAAGCAATAAGGCAATTCAACTTTTTTAGAACTCCAGACTTTTAATATGACAGAGTATAAAAGGTACTGTAAATTGAGATGCTGTGAATGCAACCTCATCTTTATTATTAGCTTTTATTGTTTAACAAAGTTGATTTTCACTGTAATTACCATGTTTCTTTTTACCACGGCACCACAATAAAAATCTGTATAAATCATGTAGTAGGGCACCGTACCAAACGTCTAAGTCCTACCTATAAGACACTGCCCCAAAATAGTAACAGTTAGCTTTCTGAAATTACTGCATACATATGCCTGCTTCTGACAACGCCATTTAAGATGACAAGCAATTGATCACAGACCAGTCTGAAGAGTTCCCAAAATGTCTTGACTTACAGAATTCAACAAACTTTGATCAGGGACTTACTATTACGTTCTGTCAGAAACAGAATGGAAAAGTAGGACTGAATTCTAGTGTCTTCTTAAGCAATGTGCTAATGATACACTTATTTGACAGAGAAAGACAACCTAATTTTACTCACATGTCTATTAATCTCCTTGCATACTGAAGAAAAGACAAACTAGCATTTTTTGTTATTCTCCTAACTACCTACCTGCATAGAAAGAAAAGAATGGACAAGACAGAGCAATGCGAAAGACGGTAACAAGAAGCAACAGGATCTAGTAGGAAATAATGTAGTTACTTGGCCATTTTTCTTTTCCCTTGAAAAATCCTACATCCTTTCTCTCTGGACCAAGGCAACAGACCTTTCGTTAAGGAACGTCCCTCTCTCGGCCATAACCTCCCCAACCCAGGCCCCCTTAGGCCCAGCCCCTCCTTATGCCAGGGCTATTCTCTATTTCTATTTCCAAAAGAGAATGAGTCCAAAGCCAGGCAAGGTAGATAGTATAACCTTTTTTTTTTTTTTACTATTTTTACACAAATCACAGAATTTCAGAGTTAAAAAGCAGCTTAGAGATTATGTCTGCTCTATTTAAATCACAATCTTCCAGGAAATAATTTATTTTGTATTTGGTGAAATTATACACTTCTTGTTCAGTTTATCATAATATATGCATTACAAAACTACCTGGGCTGGAAAGCACTGATGCCTCAGCAATTCAGCCCATTAGACTTTGGCTAAATATTTCAATATACCTATTTAACCTCCTACACTTGGTTATCCAGTCTAGAAATCAAGGTTTCCAATAACAATTCATCGTTTGCTCCTTTTGCATAATTGATACTAAAGCCGTCACAATTAAGGGTATGTGTGGACTACTGGGCTCTTTTACTCATTTTCACCTCTGGGAGAATGCTATCTTTCTGAATTGAAATGTTAGATGCTTGATTCCAGCCTAAATTTAACTCCACAGAATTTTTCTCACAATGTCATTAACACTTCTAATTTGCAAGCAACAAAGATCATCATGATTTTCCAAAGAAATTCAATTTCTATAGCCAGAACTCTCAGTTGGTCCCCAAAGATCTCACTGGTGCTCTAGAGATATCCCATAAAAACAATATCCAAAAACCTTAATATTTACTGTTTTTCCATAACGCTAGATGTTACACAAACTAGGTCTTGCCCATCAGAGCTTACAAGAATCAACAATGAATGTGTAGATAAGGCACAAATAAAGGACAAAGACGAAGATAGCTACCAGAATGTGGTCACCTGAGAAGTCAGGAACCTACAGAGTACCATCAGGCAAAGTGTGTCCTAAGTATGCAGTCTTGTCTTTCTACAAGCATTCCAAACCCCCACTACAATCTGTTCGACTATACGAATTACCTGCAGGAAGCAAAGCGGAGGAAGGAATTAGGAGACAATTGGATCCAGTGGTATACGTAATATAAGAGAGCTATCTGTATTACCGAAGATGCCTACTTCCAAAGGAAGGAAGAGCATCTTTTCTGCAAACAATTCAAATATATTCCATTTTATGCAATAGATGTGCTATGGAAGTTAAATATTTAAGATTAATATTTATAATTTGACTGAAACTTGCCTTTTTAGTTAAGCTTTTACTACCATGAATCATATTTTCTGGCTAATTTATCAATTAAAAAGTATTTATTTAAAGGGCATACTACTAACATCAGGCACTGTGATAAGTGCTAAAGATCCCATAACACTGCCCTCAAGAAACTTACATTCTAATGGGGGAGATGTATATAAATGTGTGTATACATACAGCTGAGATATAGGTATATATATAAGGCATGTGCAAAGATTAGCATATTAACATATGTTTACATTTGATTTCTATGTGTGGATATGTATGTATGGATATGTGTGCATGTATGTGAATACGCAAGGTGGTTTTGTGAAGGACAGCACTAATAGCTGAGAAAGCAGGTGTTGCTTGAGCTGGGTTCAAGGAAACCAAGGTTTCCTAGCTAGAGAAAGAGGTGAGAAGGGGGAGGATTCCAGGAATGGGGAACAGTCAGTGCAAAGGCCTGTAGGCAAAAGGTGGTACCTCAAGGGTGAGAGCCAACAAGCATGCTAATGGGCTGCAAGTTGTGAAGGGCTTTAGAATGTCAAACAGAGGAGTTTATATAGGGTGGCCCAAGAGCCTTAAAGCAATTTTAAGCTATAATAACTTCAGAAGTATAAATGCTACAAACTTATAAGAAGACTTGAAAAGTTAAAAAAAATTTTTAACTGATATGTTTTCCTAAAATTCAACATGGCCACCATCTTGTGCTCTACATCTCTCTGGCTAGTTTTTGAACTTTTTTGGTAAAAACTTTCAGCAGCTGCTGTGCAGCACCTGAAGGACTGCCTCTGTAATCCTAACTTTCCATTCTAGTTCCTACAACCCTAGTCAATTCTCATTTACTATCTGCCCTCCCATCTCACTCAGTGCCCCTGTCTGCATCCCATTTGATGAAGTGAGGTTCACTTGCCCTCACCTGGGCCTTTCAGAATCCCTACTTTAATGCGAGGCCTGGCTCAGATGCCACCTCCTCTACAAAGTCTTTCCTGATCCCATACGTCAGGGCTGTCTTCCTTGTGACATTTCTGCTTTGATTCATCTGTGTAAATGGTTTATTCTCCACCCCCAGGAGAACGTTGGTTTCTTGAGGACAGGGACTATTTCATAGGTGTCTTTATATCTTCTTAGTGCCTAGCACAATACCTTGCTTCTATAGTAGGTAACTGATAAATAGGTGAGGGACTGTTCAATTATTTGATAGCCAGCACACTCTTTTCCATTCAAGATAAAATTATTATGAAGCTAGACAAAACTACACAGGCAAAGAAAGGCTGAGAGCATGTGCATTCTCAATACAACTTTCCTCATCTTCAGAGCTCTTGGAGAGTACCATGGACTAACATACTCAAAATTTATTCAGAAAATCAACACCATCTTCTAGAAAATACATTTAGCATAAAACTCTGGGGGTTTGCTTTTTGCTAAGTTGAACAGCTGATATTAAAGACAGTGTGTCATTTTCCAAAGTTCTGTTCTTAACCATAAATTAATATTCCTTCCCTATTACAACTGTTGTAGTCTAATAAGCAATTGAGATATTCCTTTTTTCCCCTTCTACCTTTGTGTTTGAGAAAAAGAGAAAATTTTTAGGAAAGAACCTGTATTACTCAAACCTATGATGGTATTTTTCTAGAAAAAATAAAATCAGAATACTCTGTTCTAAATTAATACCTGTTTCAACAGGGAGACTGCAAATCCTTTAGACTTAATTACAGCCAATCAATGGCATGTTTTCAGTAGAATCCAAATACAGCCACAATGACAAGGACAACAAACAACTCAAGAGGTAAGTGAGCCCCTTCCTCAGCAGTAAGGAGGTGACTGGAGATGTCTGGTTCAAAGACTGCCACCACAATCTTATCTACTTACAAAGATAATGAAAAATATTTCAAAATAATTTCCATCTTGTTTAATTTAGGATTTCTTCTTCTCCAACAATTTCCTCTTATAACCAACTTAAAAGCAACACACTTAACAAGACCTCCTAACAGCATAACAGCATACGTCAAACGAGTGTATCCAAAGACTTAGTGATCCGGATGCAGGCACAAGACAGCAGCAAACATTGCGTTTTTAGTTCATCTGATGCTGGAAGAGGCAGCACAGTATAGCAGAGGGCCAGATCTGGAGTCAGGAAGATGTGGTTTCAAGCTCTGACTCTGACATACACCACCTATGTCACCATGGGCAAGTTCATCTCTGCATCCCAGGTGACTCTCTTAAGATTATGAGCTGATGATCTGCTTTGACAGAAACAGTTCCCAGGAGTTTCCTCAATGAAATCAGAGATCTAAGTTCTCCCAGAAAAACATATCCCACTAGAATGATCCTAAGGACTGAACTTAGTGAAGGAACAGAATGAAGCCTACCAATCTTAGTTTTCACTGACTTAAAAAAAAACAAAACACGTCACCAGGGACATGGGAGTGAAGGGGAGGCTACCAACTCCTTGCAATCAGATTGCAAAACCTCACAACCACTACTTGTGAACACTCTGAAATGAAAGAATTTCAACATCTGGGTTCTCTAAACACAAGTACTAAATAAGGATCTGCTACAGAAGAGAAATATTAAACCAATAACTCAAAGAATGGAATGGACCCTTCAAAGTTTCACCCCCCAAGATCTAAGCTGCACAGCCCTGCATAAAGAGCTCACCCTCTGCGGAGGCAACATGACATCCCACACCAGGAGGGTTTCAAGCCCTACTGAACAAAGTAAAAATCTCACCCGTGTCATTTTAAAAAAGTCTAAAGATGGCCGATTCCACCGCATGTCTTCCTCTCGTCTGCGCTTTAGCCGGCTTTTCTTCTCGTTCAGTACACAAGGCTGTGAGCGGCATCTCAACAAGCCTTGGCGCCGGCTAAGCTCTGGTGTGGAAGTGGGAGTGCTATTAGCTGAAGGCAAGAGGTTCCCCACCTCGGGAATGTGCTCCTGGGAGAGAGAGAGGCGACGCCTGGGGTTAAAATCACAAGGTCCGGCAGAATTCCAGCGGATGCTGGAACTGGTGCTGCCCTCACTGCTGTCCACAAAGCCACTGCTGGCCGAGGAGGGCCTGGGCACTGGAGACGTGTGGAAGCTGGTGATGGGGAACACATTCTGGAGCGACAAGATGCTCTGGGGCAGGCTGATGCTGGTGCTTCTCTGCAGGGTGGCGCTGCCACCACTATTGCAGCGCTGCAAGGTGGCACTGCCGCCACTGTTGCATCGTCTTTTGGAGACTGGAGTCCAGACCTTGGAACTGCCAGGTTTCCATGGTGACCGGCAGCGAGCCAGCTCATCGGGCTCCGACAAGGATCGACAGTGTCGCTTGGGAGGCGGGGCCAGCGGCTGCCCCGAGTTTTCATTCAGGTTGAGTTCACTGATCCATCCTGACACCGTCGATGGGCTGGGGGATTCTTTCTGCCACTGGAGACACATGTTTGCTGAACTAAATGGGCATGATGGGAAAGGGAAAGCTGAAACCTTGGTCACTTCGGTTCGGATTGGACATCCTCCATTCAACACTTTCCAAGGATTTTCTTCTACTGAAGGAAACAGGGAAGGACAGAGATCAGCAAGGAAGACAGACAAGGGGAAAAAGCCAATTAGCAGGAAACAAGTACAAAGATGCCGCTGCAAAATGAATTCAACAACTGACCAATAGAAGGCCAAGCCTTTGGGCTTTTTACTAAAAGTTAAAAAGTTTACAGCAACCTAGCTTCTCCTTCCCATTAGTTTTCAGTTATTCACTGGAATTACCATCTTAAACTGAACTTACTATATCAGCTACCAAGAAAATTCCTGTACATAGGACATAAGCAACAACAGATCTGTAAAATACTTCAGAAAAGATATTTAGCCTACCTACATTTAACCACAATCTTTGAGACAGTGGCTCAGGCTTCTTAGTAGCTTTAGCTATCAAGACAACATTTTTACTCCTAAAAATACTAACACATACATATTCCAAAAAAAGTTATTTCCTGTCTATTTAGGTCAGACTTCTAGAAATCAATCTGTTTTTTAGTAGCTCCATGAAATGAAACCAATCTTATTTTCAGTTACCTGCAATAAAGACCTAATTTTTTTTCATTTTTTAACTAGTCTACTTCAAATAAAAAAGTTTTCCTTAAAGTTGCATGAGATAGTTTGGAAATCTTAAACAGTCACAGATCATAGATTTAGAGCTATACAAAACCTTTGAAGTCATCATTTAGTTATTTTACAGAGGAGGAGACTGAGGCCTAGAAAGCTAAACGACTTGCCGAAGGCCACACACAGGCAATAATTCTCCAGAGCTGGGATTAAAACCCACACATTCCAGTTCCAGGGCTCTTTCCCCAATACTATGTGGGATTTCATTCAGATGCTCAAGGTGACTGACTACCACAGGACATACATAATAAAAATTTCACCAAAACCTTAGAAAGGTCTGCTGTTATTAGATCTATCATCATTTGTAAGGAAATGAAGGGCAACTTATATTTTTTTCTTCATTAAGCTACCAATTATCTAACACAAACTAAGAAATCTAAAATATATTCCTTTTTTGTTCAATTTTGCTAAGATTTTGCTGTTATCCCATTTTTATTTAACCCTGCTTACAAGTAAAATATTTTTTATTAACTTTTTAAAAGTATTTATACTGGGGGAGCTAGGTGGTGCAGTGGATAGAGCACTGGCCCCTGGATTCAGGAGGACCTGAGTTCAAATCTGGCCTCTGACACATAACACTTACTAGCTGTGTGACCCTGGGCAAGTCACTTAACCCCAATACCTAGCCAAAAAACCCCCAAAAAACCCAAAAACAAAATAAAAGTATTTATACTTACTAACATGTTACAGTAACACTATTCTTTGCCATTCTTAAAAGAAGCTAAAACTTTAATACAGATGACTGCATCTCCCTCCTGACATTGTTATACCACATAATGTACTCGAAAGTAAAAACAATCCCCTTGTTTTTAGTTGTTTAAACAAAGCTTTTACTTATTAGCTCTAGTATTTTTGACTACCAGTCAAAGCTTTAAGAACTTCAGAAGTATCATCCAGTGTGAAGGCAGGGGCTGGGAATCATTAAAGCTATTGGCAAAACCTCAGACTCCTACATCAAACTGCTTTTTCCAACTACATTCAGCATAAGTTACAATTGTTCTTAAACACTGTATGATATGGGTAAAAATAACCGACAAACCTAAGATAAAAATTAAGAGGAAAACCCCTCTCATGTTAAACAGTTTTTCAAGCTTGGCTGCAAAGATGACACGTTAAACCAACTGGAGTCAGGTCGAAATGTCTCTCATCTTCTAAATGAGGCAAAATTAAATCACTTAGATACTGAGGAATTCTCAGGTCATCGAAGAATTCTAATGTAAGCAAAACCCTGACTTCATTCTCTGTGTACAAGATGACGCAGTGGGCTCCTTCTCCTGGAGCTGCATATGATGCCACGTGCCGACATCGAGGGACAAAACTAATCGAGCATTCCGACTAGGTCCAGCTAGTGTTCACACCAACATTTTAAACAGTAGGATTTCTGTCCCTTTCATTTAAAAATAAATCAAAAGATACTCTTTCCCAAGTATTTCCTTCATTCTTACCTCCTTATAAATCAGATTAGAAAAAAAAAAGTCTGCTAAAAGGTACCCTCTGCCACATGGGCCTAGAACATGATCATGGCACCCAAAGATGCCAGTCATGCTTGTCATTTTCCTAACAGCTACCTCAAGAGAAGGTCTCAAAAGGGGATAGGGGATGTGAAGAGAGCATTTAGACATACCAAATGATATTGAACAAAAACATCTCACAGGAGCTTTTACTATGCAAAGCAGATCACAAGCAGAAAACTAATAACCAGTGATTCGAGGTATTGTCCCAAGGCCAGCTCAAACCAGCAGGCTCTGCAGCAGCAGGTCCCGGCCCCCATTTCACCTGATTTGCAACAGAAAGGCTGCTGAGCGCCCCAATTACCTCAGTGTCTCGCAGCCAGGGCTTTTAGAAGAACTTACCATTGATTTCGAAAGGGAACAAGCTGCCACTTTTGTTCAGCTCCTCAGATGAGTACTGAAATTAATCAGAGAAAGAGGTTTCAACACCACACAACTATACATGGTGTGAAAGAAAATGAGCACAAAACTGTGAGTCCAAAAATAGTTACATGTTTTAGAATCCAATTCTGTTTCTTAGCGAACTTTTTTGCTTCAAAACTTTAAAAGGAAAACTTGGCTGTCTAGTTGGGCACCTGGTCTCTTAATGGGAGGCTAAAAACAAAACATCTGACTGCCCGACAGTCTGATTCTAGAGGAATCAGTCTGATGCTTACTTTTCTCCTTAAATCTGTTCCTCCTTCTTCCCCTCCACCTGGCTACTCTCAGGTTTCTTCTAGCCTGTGTGTGTGTGGGGGGGGGGGGGGTGACGTTTGGGAGACGGCTGAAATAACTTTGCCTCTTACCTCCACTGACATCAGAAAAGGGAAACCTGCTCAGATTTGGGGGGGGGGGGTGGCGGCAGTGCAGTCTCACATTAAGGCTTCAAAAGGAACTCAAAGTTCCAAAGTAACAACACATGGCTAGTATGGGGGAAGGGAATAGTTCAGAACTGAAATTTCACCTGGGTAGAACTCCAGGCAAGGAAATTCTCTCCAGTGACATCCATCAGAAACTATTCTGCCTGAGGGATCGGAGTGGACCTGGGGCATGCAGCCAGGAGGGTCAGGGGCAGCAGTGGCAGAGAGGAAAGAATACTCTATTTGGAATCCAAACCTGGGGATTCAAGTCCAGGCTCTGCCAGGCTAACCTGAGCAACTCTGGGAGACTCACCTCACTTGTCTGTCCTGCTTCCTCCTCAGTAAAATGAGGGGTGTGGACCTGGTGAGATCCAATGACCCTTCTAGCTCCCACAGTCTAAAATCCTGTCTTTCATTACTGCCTTGCAAATCTGACCCTGGAGTTAATTAAGATTTAGGAGTAAAATCTCAGTTTTGAAAAATCCTGACCTTTCATTTGTCAAAGATCAATGGATTTTCTATGAACTTAATTTTGCCTCTGTTTAAAAAAAAAATTAAAAGGTTAAGTTATATAAACTCATTAACCAAGTATGTAATTGTTGCCTTAGAGATATCTCTAGTGGCATTATCTGAGATTAAAAATTCATAATGAATTCTAATTCCAAGACTCTCTCAACTTCAGAAATTAATTGGCAGGATCATAAAATATCTACTAAGCTATACATAAATATATCATACTGGAGACTGTTACTTCCCCCGCCTTAAAGAGAGAAGGGATCTATCCACTGGCTCTTACCCCTGTAGATAAAAGTGCCTCATCCTCCACAAAGCCTCCTTGAGACCTCAGGTTCTCGATTTTAATATGCACCTCTATGCCAAACTGCATCATCTTTATCTATGTGTACATTTATTCCATCTCTCCTCACTAAACTGTAACCTTCTTAAGGGAAGGGAAGCACAGCCCATTTGTCTGAGTGTTTTCCTCAGGCACTTCACAAATACTCAATGTTGTGGAATATCTAGCGCAGTCATCTTAATCATAAAGCCATCTCAATATATGTAAACTTAAGAGTAAGTTTACATTGAGTTAGCCAATTTCAATTCATCAGTGGCATCAGCTCAGTGATGGTAGCAGAGGACGCACAGGCATGGGGAAGGATCAGATCACACCACGAGGGGTTGAAGGAATTGGGGATATTTAGTCTGGAAAAGAGAAGGCTTTGGGAGACACAAAATAGCTGTTCTAGACACTTAGCAGATAAACAGATTTTATGACTGCTCCTTTATATGCACCTCTGTGGGGTATATACGCTCATTTTAAAAAAACTATATTAAAAAGGAATTTTAACACTAAATTTTTTTTCCATGCCACCATTTTGAACTATTCCTCTAGAATGCCTTTTTATTCATTCTTTCCTATCAGTCTGCATCTGAAAAAAAAAATGAGAGGCTTATATGTTTTTCAAGACAGAAAAAAAAAGGTTTGGTTATTTTAACAGGCCTCCTCCTTTACAAGCTTTTTTTTGGATCCTGGGTTTTGTTTTGCGTACGTGTGTTTTATTATTATTAAACCAAAAAGAAGATAGTATTGTTCTAAGACTTCCTTTCTAGATACAGGTTCATTTTTTTAAGTAAACATCCTTGAGCAATGAAAAATTTATAATGTTTATGAATATGAAGTTCTGCCCATGTTAAGACCTTGAACTGAGGTTATAGTAAAAATGCTTAATATAGTATTGTAAAAAATACTTAGGGAAATTAAGACTACCTGTTCCCAGACAAAACCTGCTAGAAATACTTTCAAGTATTTTTCAAGTTAATGAGCCCTTAGAGATGTTTCATTTCCTTACCTGAACAAAGAAAAAGAGCAAAAGTCTTTGCTAATAAAAAGCTAAAGGATTTGGGAATCTAAGACTCTAAATGAGGATTCAGATCATAATCACAAATTAAGGATGAAAGGTGGTGTTATGAACTAGTTAATTTAGTAAATGTTTCATTAAGATTAAGCGTCTTAGTTTTGCCCAGTCATTAAGTTTTATGTACCTTAACATTAACACAGCTGGTATGTGGACAAGGCACTTTCTACACTTCCTTTAAAAGGCAAATATTTCACTATAATCCCTGGCTCTTATTATAAGAATGGAGAAAAATGAAAACATTCTGTGGTAAAACAGAAATCTGGCAGTTTAAATTTGGCTATATCTGATAAAAACAGATTGGGCTACTCATAGTAAAATATTTTCCAAGATCCCCCTGGCTCTGGCCCTGGGAGCCCATAAGCAAGTCAAATCATTTCACTTTCTCAACCCTCCATTTTCTCCTCGGCAAAATGAGGACAGCAAACACTGCTATGACCCACACTTCAACAGACTACCTTTTGTCAACTTGCCATTATTATCCAAAATCAATTTCCTTAAGTTTTGAGGCTTCCTAAAAATGAATGGGGGGGGGGGGCGGGGGGAGAGAAGGAGCTGAATTTAATTGTGAATAAGGTGATGCATTTGAAATTCTCACTTCGCTAAATACTAAGGTACCAACACATTATGTTATGATCTAGAGCCAAAGAGAACAATCATTTTCCTCTTATTCTACAACCAACAATCCTAGGATAATTACAGACCCCTTCTGCCTTATTAAGCACCACAACAATTCAATACAGGGCAGGAATGGGACAGAGGATCACTGCGCACACCAAAGGTCTGAGAGGCCAAAAGGCATGCGCAGTGGCGCCTCACTGACCTTTGCAAACACCACCCCATCCTAACAACCACTCTAGGAGGGGGCTAATGCAAGTACTGTCACTTCTCTGCTACTTGCCCACGACCACACAGCTAGGGTCAGAGTCAGGATTTGAACGTGGGGCACTTAACTCCACAGCAATCTTCCTTCTCCTGCATATGCTGCCTGTCACTCAAAACAACAAAACTTTGGAAATTTTCTCAAGATTACACACCTTCAAACACTAACCTTTCCCTAATTTCAGGAATGAGGCATGTCTTCACTGAAACTGATATCCAACCTAATCAATTAATAATAAAACATTTAAAAAGCAAACAAGGACGCGACAGAAACACCCTACGATCTTAAATATCTATAAATGCACTGTGGCTACCATTAATCTTTATGGTCTTTGGGGCAAATCTTCAACACTCTCCAATGCACAATAAATATTAAACATTTACCAATCACTTCTTTGATCATCAACCTTTGAAACTACAAATTAGACATGGAAAAACATAGCCAAAAGAAATGGCCAAGAATAATCCTACTGTCATTAAAAAGCAATAATTCTATGGCTGAGAAACTAGCCTAACATTTCTAACTTCCATGATTTTGGATTTCTAGTTAATACTTTGAAAAAAAAAAGTGGTTTGTTATCTAACTCACAGAACAGTCTTTGGACCTTGATTTATCATAAACACCAAACACTTAAACGCAATTGGCCTATGCCACTCACTCGGAACAGCTACTGGAAAAAGAGCCAGTATCTCAAAGCACATCATTTCTGTGGCTTAAATACAAAAGTATACACTGGATTGAAGGAATGGTGTAAGCTAAAATTCCAAATAAGTCAAATTATGTTATCGTAAAATATTTCAACTTCTACCAATTTTCTAAAATCCACATGTAAATATGAATCTCAACAAAGAGGAAAAAATAGGTGAGGAGGAAGATGAGCTTTCAGGAATCCTGTCTCAAAGGAAAACCAAATCTATCTGTAAATGAACTAGGAATATTTGAGAATATTATTAAAGTACATGGACACTCTCATGACCTGGCACCATTCTACCATGAATAAGAATAACAAAGAAAGCAGAGTGGATGGGTTGGGAATTTTATCAAGAGGGTACCATCTACCTCCATGACATCACTGATCCCTGGGGGTCTGGACAAAACCCACAGGAGCTTCTTGGCTAAAGGCCTGTTACACCTTTGTACTGGCTTTCCTAAAAACAACCATTACATCGTCATCCATTTCAGCATTCACACAGCTCTGTACTTACAGCCCCTTCAGACTACAGGTTGTACAGGCCTGCTGTAAATCCTCAAGATCTACAAAGTACTTTCCTCCCAACAACTGTGGAAAGGGCTGGTACCATTGAAATTCAAGAGGGATAAATGTAGAGTCTTGCATTTGGGTAGAAAAAAAAAAATCAAATCTGGAGGCCTGGTTAGACAACAGTTTTGAAAAAGATCTGGGGGCAGCTAGGTGGCACAGTGGATGGAGCACCGGCCCTGAAGTCAGAAGGACCTGAGTTCAAATCCAGCCTCAGACCAAACTCACTAGCTGTGTGACCCTGGGCAAGTCACTTAACCCCAAATGCCCCCCCCCATAAAAAAAGACAGGAAAAAGATCTGGATGTCTGAGTGGGCTGCAAGCTCAAGGTCAGTCAAGTGGTAAGTGACTTGGCAGTCAAAAAAAGCTAGAGTGCTCCTGGGTTGTAGTAAGGAGGTCCCAGCTTCCAGAAATAGGGAGGTGAGAGTTCCACTGCACTTTGCTTTCAGACATCATCTGGAATACTGTGTTTACTTCTGGGCATCACAATTTAAGAACACT